ACTGTGATGAAAATGCATGAGAAACTCTGCCCGCCTTTCACCGTGTTTCCATCCAAGCATCCACACCCTGTCAGCGTTTTGCATTTTAAGAGAGAAGTTTGGATGCCGCAATAAGACTGCTAATGACACAGCAAAGCAGGACAGGATCAGAGCACTCCCTGTGGGCCTAAGCAATTCTCAAAGGATGAGTAGGGGCTGGGAAGGCCAAGAGGAAAGGTTCCAGAAGGCGGGCAAAGATGCAGAGAGAGAAGCAAGGGGCGCACCTGGTCAGCGGCAGGAAGAGGCCAACAGGACTGAGGGGAGGCCTCACCCAGGACCCCTAAATTACTTCAGAAAAGTCACTAAGAACCTAATAGCTTGTGAAGTTTTAGGCTCTGATTTTAAACCAAATTCCATGCTCATGAAACAAAGGGGACCCACTCACTGTGAGACGAGCACTTGTATATAAATGACACATGAACTTTTTCCCTCTATATGCAATTCCCTGAGCATAGAGTCCAAAGGGTAAATGAGAGAGGTTTTTTTGACTTTGAATTACTGCTATTGAACTTTCACCCAATTCTCCAGATTGCACGAGTGCCTATGCTCTAGCAAGCGTTCTGGTTTCATGCTAAGACTGTCCTCTGTGCTGGCTCATTAGGTAGTCTTGCCCTTTACATAAGTCATGGCACCATGCAGGAGGGCACTGTGGGCACTCGTGGCAGAGAACGAAACCCCTGCTCACCCCTATTAACGAGCTCAGGCTCCAGACAACTGAATGATGAGGAAAAGCATTGGGACAGTGTAGGGCTTGTCATCTCTACGACTGAGACAATGCATAGTGGAAAAAACTCAAAAATGCTGTTCTACATGGCCATCCCTTCCTCTGATGGCCGTCTGCCCCACAGAATAGGATGACAGTCAGGGCAGAGTTTAGAGGGCTTCCAGATGTCTCTTCAGGAGTATTTGGGCCGAGGTACACACTGTCTCATCCACGCCACAAGGAAATCAGATTAATGCTGACTACAAACTCACATGCAAAAGGGAAAGAGACTGCGTAATGCACGTCTTTTCCTCCAGACTGCAACTGAGTCTCTCTCCCCACTTCTCTTATTCTCTTTATATACATATATGTGTCTGCTAATTTATGCATATATGCATACTTATATATATATGTGTGTATAACTATATGTGTATATATATTTGTATGCATGTACACATGTATATGAAATATGCATATGTGTAAAAGCCTTTAAGAGGGCAGGGAGAGAGAAAACATATACATGCCTACGTACCCATAAACATGTTGTACAATTCCATTCCATTCATTTTATTAAATCCAGCCAACATTCAGAGCCTCTGCCATGTGCTGACCCTATGCTAGATGCTGGAACACAAAGCTATATAAGAGTCACCAACCTCCAGGAGTTCCCCATCTGGAGAGGAGATAGATTTAACCAAACACCTGTATCTGTATGCATGGTGGTCCCTTATAATAGGAGGCAGCATGGTTTGGTGGTGCTGGATTGAGGGGGGTTAACACACATGCTCGCCGGGCTCCGCTCAGGTGCCACACCACTGGCTATGTGACCTTACCATGTGCCTTGGGCCTCAGGGTCCTCACTGGTAAGACAGGTGTCTACAGCAGCAACTTCCTCACAAGGTGAGAATTAAATGATAAGACAAGTGAGAGCGCTTAGACTTACTGGCACACAGAAGGCACTCAATAAAACAGAACTTTTATTCTCACACTTATTATTCTTAATTGAGAGGAATGTGAACTTCTGCAGGGGAGCACAAAAGAGAGAAAGGCCAGTCTAATTTGGGGGGGTATCAGCAGAAGCTTTGGGGAGGAGGTGGCAGAATGAAGAGTTGTTTTTCAGAATAATAGGGAAAAACAGTCTTCCAAGGATAAAAAAAAGAGTTTGTTCAAAGGCCCTGAGGCATGAAACATCCTGGCAGGTCCAGAGCACTGCCAGCAAATCCACACAACCACAGTGAGGCTTCAAGGTCAACGAGAAGCCAGCGCCAGATCTGAATGGGCCACCTAAAGGCCCTAAATGGTGGAAAATGAAAAGGAAATTTGATCTGCCTTTCAAAAAGGTTTAAATAACATCCACCTCAACATGATTTCCCCTGGCCAGAGTCACCATTGTGGTGATCAGCTCTCACGAATGCCGCTGGAGGACACTGATGCCACAGAACAGAGGAATTATTGTCATTCACATGTTCTTTCCTCTGTTCACAAGCCTTTAAAAGTTTTTTGTTTCAGTTTTAATAACTAATTGGCATATCTTCCCTGCAGCTTTAGTTACTGCAGAAGGTTTTCTTTACCACTAATAACTTATAGGATGCTTGTTAAATACCCATCTTCCTTACCACAAGGCGGGTCTGAAGTGGCCACTTCTTGGCAGTCATGAGAGCCAGACAGCAGTCATTCACCCTCACAGGATGCACATGGCAACCACAGCTTTGTGGTCCAAGACTCGAGAGACAGAGGCAGATGTGGGCGGCAGAGCTAAGCCAGGGGTTAGCACAGGAACTACATCCCGGGATATATCCCACGAAATCATATCCCAGGATAAAAGCAGTATGAGTCAACAAAGAAGGTCACTGAAGAAGATGGAAAAGAACACATGCAGTGGCACCAAACGGTTGGACAAAAATGCAAAGTGGATCTTTTGAGGGATTGAGTGACAAAGGCGGTCCCTGGAGGGAAAAGTTAGAGACAGACAACTAAACTGTTTGGATATGTCTAGATTTATTCTCTCATTCATCATTCATGAGGTCAGCCTATTAGACGACTCTATTAATTCTCCTTGTTCAAATATGTCCTGGGTATTGAGAAAATAATTTGATGCCACAGAACAGTGCCTGGTCTCCTGCCATGAGGGACTCAGGACAGCAGGAAGGGAAGTCACTGCTATCGGACACCTGACATGTGCCCGGTACTGTCCTAGGTGTGCATATGTAGTTAATAATAATAGCAGATGTCCCATTGAATCTTCTTAATACTCCTTTAATAAAATCAGTGGATGTAAACAGTCTTTTTTTCCTGTCCCCAATTTCATTCACGTCCCATATTAGAGAAAATGGAGGCAGAAGGTGGGAAAGGGGCCCAAGTGAGGAAAGGAAGCTAAAAACTTAACATATCAACCACCCTTGTTTGTAAAAGAAACCCTGCTTTTTTTCAGTTCAACTTTTTCCCTTTAATGACACGCATTGCCCCAAATGCCCACGAATTAATCCTGCCATTCCTTGTCTACCAGACCCACTAACATGCTTGGTAGGTGTGTGTGTTTGTGTGTTTACAAGTGCTGGAATGTTCTAGTACACATAGGGACTGCAATCATCACCACGGGATCCGCCAGCGTGTCACATCCACATTCCGGACACAGGTGCCTGATAACTGCCATGGGAGGGCCTCTCTGCCTGTGAGTCGCCTGGGGCTCCTGAGGACCAGTGGCATTTTTCTTGTTTTAAGTTGTTAAGAATAAAAAAAGAAGCATAGGAAAAAGTGAACATAAAACATAAGATATCGTATCAACCGATCATGTGGTACTCCAAACTCATATGTGTTTTATGGTCAACTGAGAAATTCAAAAAGCATTATATGAATGATTAAAGTAAGCATGAAAAATAGCAGGATCTCTATCAATTGCGCTTTGTTTCTCAGACAATCATTTTTCTCCTGAAAAATCAAAGCAAACAATTATACATTAAGCATCTACTATTTGACAGGTATTCTATATACAACTGAACAAATACAGGATTTCTCCTCATTATTGTCTTTTCTTTAAATTATCCAAAGCGTTGATGGGGTGCTTTAACTGTTTTCTCTTTAAGCAATTTTATTCTTATGAATGTCTTCAGAAGTTTAAGACTTCGATGGTTACGCAGTTTTCTGGGTCTTTAAGGAGTTCGTTTTGTTTTCTTCGTACTGTTCTTTATTCACCTTAAACTTTTCCCTGTCTCTTCCTACTCTCTGATTTTTAGGGAGAAAAAAATCTAGCATCTGGGGTCTGAGACCACTTGAAATGTCTGGGCTGAGGACTGCTAATGACCTCCCAGAGATAACCCAAATTGCTGATTTAGCAAAGCCCATTCTTGACCTTGACACAAGACAAGACAGGCAAAGAGGAAAGACTGGCGAGGGAGCGGGAAAGAAAAAGATCATAGAAGCGCTCAGATCTCCCCGGCCCCCTCCCCCATTCAGCAAACACCTGGCTGAGTTGGAAAACATGACCGGTCCAACCTTCCTATTGGCACCAATTGAAGCTGTCAGCTCTCGGCTTGTCACTGGTTGCACTGGGAGGCCCCGAGCAGCCACAAGAGCCCTAATTAGGCAGAAATGACACTTCTACAACTGACCTGCCAGGACCTTTGGCAAACCATTTAACATCATTAGTTAACATTTTTTAAAAGTGTGAATGTAAATGAACAGCCAGCAGCTTTCAATGGAGTTTGTCGGTGGCATACCCCCTCCCCACCCCTGCTCACTCTTTCTCTTTTTACATGAATAGTCTGCTTGTTTTCCCTAGAATTGGAGGGAGGCGCTGGGGAAGAAGGAAGAAGAGGAGCAGAGACATGTTCAAGCACAAACAGGCTCAGAGGAGCGGGAAGACCGTCTCTTTCTGCCGTGGAAGGGACCTGAGCAGGTGCAAGCCCCCAGGGCCAGCAGAACAGAGCTGCGGGACAAGCATGTGCCCAGCAGGTAGACTGAAGCCAGGTGGCTATCAAAAGCCATGCTGTGAGCATGGATAGTGACCATTCTGGGCTTTGACTGGGTGGGAAACACTTTTGGTTCCTGACCCAAGGATGCCTCCGAGATACTCTCTCTCACTTCCTACCACTTGTTAGCGTTTGGGACAAGCAGATGATTTGCAGCAGTTTAGCAAATATCTTATACGTTTAAATGTACCCACTTTAAACATACCTAGTTCTTCTCTAAAGGAATGAAGTTCTGGGGTAACTACTTCCGACGCCAGTTTGATACTTACACGAATGAGTTCATTGCCTACCTGTAGCAGCTATTTCCCACCTTGAATCACACTTCATTTTGTTCTTTGCTGTACACCCACAGAATCCGTACACGCCCACACTCTCCATCTGTAGGTGGGGGGAGAAGAGTTTCACTGTGAAAATGTCACTTTGTTTCCATGCTGCTTTTAAATCCTGTGCTCGTGCTGGTTGACAGTTTGAAGGGGCAGAAGGGAAGCACAGGTTTAGGTGGGCGGCAGAGGAGCCAGGTTCCTGGCGGCCCTTTGCATTTACCACCTACTTGTTGTGTGGCCCTGGACAAGGTGCTTTGCCCTGAGTCTCAGATGTTTTCATCTGTAAGGCAGGCAGAGGCAATGCTTTACTATGCGAGTGAGAAATAAATAGGTGGAAATATTGTGAGACCTGAGAAGTGCTGTGTAAAGATACAGCACAACAGACCAATAAGCCCTGCCAGAAGTAAGAAGCTATGCCACATTCTCATCTGCATGCATCATGGAGAGAGGCAACTGAGAATCTGTCCTCTTGCTTCCCAAGACACTCTGGACAAAGCCACTACACCCCGAGCATATCCCAGGTCCCTTCCTGTCACCACCCCCACCCCACCTTCATTCCTGCTTATTCTCTGAAGGGCTGTAAGAACTACAAACAAGAGTGCACAGGTACAAAACGAACTCCTAAAACCCATGGCTACACTTGCTTTTTAGCCTCTCCGCTGGATCCTAAAGAGTATAAGAGGGGAATCATGTCTTGTCCATTTCTGAAAGCCCTGAGAACAGTGGTGGGTACACAGTAGATGCACAATAAATGTTTACTGTATTGAAATGCAGTGCAGCTTCCAGACCAGTGCTTATAGCAGTCGGAATGTGTGCTTTACAAAGGCAGCCCTGATCCTGAATTTGAAGAGCTTTACTGGTCCCTGAATTAAAGATGAGTAAAATCAAGCAGGCACTGTGAGGTGGAGAATGCCTGGAAGTAGTCATGAAAAAGAAGCAACAGAAAACAATTTTGGTTTGGGGCAGAAAGAGAGAGAAAATACCAGAAAACGTCCTTAATAACAGTAAATGGGAAAGGGAGAGAGCTTCTCATCATGATGGAGTATTTAGTGCTTTTAAGCTAAATACCTCAGCATATTAAGCAAGTAGAGAAAAGCCAGCTAGAAGATGTCAGCAAATTGAACCGAACGGCGCTCAGAAAGCTCAGAAAGCCGATAGGAGGTGTCTGGTTTGACCCCTTTTCCCATCACATGCCTGGTCCGCGCCTGGTTGTTTAGTGTTGCTTCTCCTCTCCAGCTGCGGAGCTTATTGAAAAGCTCTTGCTCCCTGCCTAGTTTTGGCACATTTTCTGCAGGTGCCTCCTACTGTGGCCACAATGGGCTGCTAGGGAGGTTTAGACCTGTCAACAGCTCCAGGGGAGGGGATGGCGGTGGTGGAGGGAGCACAGCCATTGTCTTAAAGGGCCAGTGACATTGTGCACCACCCCGGAGCCTGCAGCACCGCACCTGCTAACGAGATGAATCCTTTCTCCTGCTCCCTCTGTAATGATTTAACGGGACCACTTTGGTTCCTTTCTGGAAGGGGAATTGCTCCATTGATAATATAAAGTAATTGCCTGTAAAACATTGCTCTGCAACAACTACTACTTCCCTGGCTGAAAATGTCACAGCAATTGAAAAGCTCTTAGCCCAGCCAGTTCAAGAATGAGGTTGCTCACAGGAACAGTCCTTGCATATGTCCCCAGGCACTTGCATGTTCCTAGAGTCACAAGTTTCTGGTGTGTCTGATTTTTAAGACAGAGAATGTCCCTTCCCATAGCATAGCCTGATTTTGTGTGGGATTGTGGAAAACTCACACTAAATATTCCCTCAACCCTAGAATTAGGCTTATTTGTTCAGGATAAGAAATAATTTTCTTAATCACCCATGCCATTCTTCCCTCAGAGGCTATGAATTTGGCCCATGTGGGTCAAGTCTGACTTAGGAGAGTGTCTCCATTCTCATCAAATAAGATTGTATCTTTGTCTAGGAGGTAGGTAGTAGGGGCCTCGGTTTTGCAGGAACCGATGCTCTGTTTAAGACGTGATTTTTTTCAGACCTGTCACTTGGCGGCAGCAGTGACACATTGTGGGAACGGGGACCACACACTAACGGAGTTTTCAAAGTACTTCATTTAGTCATTGCCAGGCCAATGTGAGGGAGTAAGTCACCTGGGGGAAAATCATTTTGTCATAGATGTGAACCTGCCAGCAAAATAAATAGTGGTTTGTGATGGTTTCATTTTCCTCTGACAGGTGAAAGCCTCAGTTTGTGTCTGAATATGAGAGAGACTTTTTTTCAATTAAATTGGTGGGAAGTGCCTCTTGCTAAATGAGATGCTGCTGTTACTAATTTGGGAACAAAGCTTCAGGTGAATCACCTTCCAACGGAGGAGCCAGAAGATTTTCTGTAGCTGACGGAGTAAGGGCAGTAGACATGGTTATCACAGTACTGTTTAAAAAGGCAAAAACGTCTGTCTGCTTACTTCATGACCAATAGTATAGAGAACTCAACTACAAAAAGGCCATTTAAATTTATAAACTTGAAGAAAGTCAGAGAACTTTTTGCATCTAAATCCTTTGACAGGTTGTGGTACCCCTCCCATAACTACATAAGTGCATCGTTTTTTTCCTCAGAATTTAGGAATTTTTTATTTTAATATTGTCAGAATATACATGGTATTCCTTTAGGGCAACTACACATACTACACCAAAATATACTATATATAATAAATATTAACTATTTTTTCTTTACCGCTAGAGTGAAGAGAATAAAAATTATTTAAATAAGCCCAGTATATAAATTGATTCTTAGATAGGAGGAATTATGTTGACAGCCTTTCACCAGAAACTGAGTTTTTCTCTATTTGCTTATATGGGAAGGTCTTTTTTTTTTTTTTTTTGGTCTGTAAAATGAAAGTGTGGAACTAAATGTTCTGTCTGTCTGTATGATTTTCTTATCTATAAAAAACGATTCCCATAATGGCAAATAAATGAGTGGTAAATACGACCATACAGTTATTTCTAGCAGTTTTGCCTATTAGATAGGTGGTCAAGACAGAGTCAAAGTGGGTTGAGTTAATCCCCTGCAGCCAAGACAAGGAGAGCTGGACTATCAAGGCTAGAATCCCAAGCCCCCTGTTAAGAGCTGCATGTGAAGCAGGAATGCCTGTGGAGGGCTGCACTCGAGGTGGGGGTGCGGGGTGGGGGGCAGTGCTGGCCTGCTGCTGGTGTTAGGCCACGTGTCCTCTGCATGAACTCCCAGAGTGAGTGTGGACAGTGTGAACACTGTTTCACCATATTTCTGGAGGGGGAAAAAGCAACATTTGAAGAGGAGAAAAACAAGTCAAACAAGCACATTGTCAGTGGAATGAATGTCAAATTTGACAGCAGCCACAGGACTGGTTTCACTTTTGCATCCTCCTCTTTCGTTTATTTGCACACGACACGAGGTCTGAACACAGTTCCAAAGCTCGAGACGCTAAAATGGGGCTTTACATCTTGCTCCTCATGAGGATCTTTGTAGCATATTTTAAACCAGCTGATTTCATAAGGTAGAGATTAACCTTGGGTTATGTGTGCTTGAACTTCATACTAAATAGGGTTTTGGTCAAGATGTTGGGCATGTGTTTGAAAATAAAAGAATGCATTTTAAAATGCTGCATCAGTCCTACATCATGCCACCCACCTAAATGATGAAATGTACAGAGTGGTGAGAATTACACCCCAGGTTAGTCTGTGAGTGTTCTGAAAGGTAAAAGCTAAGTCTTAAGGTAAGACTTAGATTTAAATTTGGTAATTTAGATTTGTAAATTTATTTGTGCAGTGAGAGCCACCCACATTTCAACCTGAGCCCTCTATTTACTAAGTGTTTGCCTTTCTACCAACATGTATCTTATCCACTAAAAGTTAACACACAGAAATGTTAAGATCCTTTATACTTAAATAAAAAGTTAACATCCAGCTGATGGGTAACAGTACCTTTTGAAATGTTTGTATTCCATACCTAAGGTGTGCTTATTTTTCAGTTAGAAAATGTCTGTTTGAAATTTGCTTTATAGCTCCTGAATTAATACAGAACCACTGGGTAAGGGAAGAAAAAGATTTTACTGTCTTAGCCCTTAGCAGAATGCATGGGATGGGTCCAAATGAACATTTCAGCTGCAGTTTTTATGACTAAATCAGACATTAGGGAGGCTATACAAACACAGGCTTCCTTCCCCTCCCCGCTCGAGAGCTTGGTTCTACTTTGTTTCCTCCAATTTTCTTAGAATGACATACTGCCAAGTTTCCTTACTTTCAAAAGTCAGAAAGCACTAGGTAGCCAAACGAGGATCCCTATACTGTTCCTCCCCAGTTTGTCTGAGACAGGATCCCAACCCAACCCTAAGCTTTTAGAGTTAGAGCTTATTTTAAAGTATCCAACTGAAGTAGATGTACTTCAGTAATCACACAAGCATGACTGAAGGACTAGTTGTAAATGCCTACCATGAAAAAAGGTAAAATTTTACCTTCACATGTTGTGAAAAATAGATGAGATAGGCTGGTATGAGGTGACAGTCCTAAAGTCTAAATTTGGAGAACAAGGTGAGTCTCTCATAAACGCAGTGATCATATGGGCTGACCCTCATGTGGCAGCTGAGCCTAAACCCTGGGGGAGTCAGGCGTGGGGGGAGGGTTGGGGGGGGGTGATGCTCTGATCCACCAGCCAGGGTCTAGGTGCATGCCAAGTATGGTAGTGCTTTTTTCTTAGCATTAGGGTTTGGAAAAGTGTCTGCAAAGTTCCAGGCATGCTCCTAAATTAGAGTCAAACCCAGACAATACATACAGGGGAAGGTTAAAAACATTTATTTTTAGTTTAAAAAAACTAACAAGACATGGTGGTTTCTTTTGTTCTCATATAACAAATAATACTTGGAGATAAAGTCTATTGCAAATATAAACTAAAAGCCATCTTAGAACTTTGAGTTTTTCATTCTGATTATATTTCCTGCTTCTATAGATTTATAATTATCTCCCAAAAAGGCAACTAATTTTCCAACAATAGGTTTATGACAAATGTACAGAAAAAATTATCT